TCTTGAAAGAGTGTAAAGGGAATTACATATTTAATCAGATAAATTAAAGTTTAATTATATAATATTTATAGTTGCAATGTCGCATAACTGACTAAATTTGACAATGCAGGTCAAAATTCTTGTAATGGTAAGCTGGCACTAGTTGGATGCAGCTCTATTCGTTATCCCGTTTGAAATGCTACAATTTACTAGTGCATTTGTTCAAATACATGGAAAAATATGCAGAAAATAAATAAGGAACAAAAGTTTAGGCCGTTCACAAAAAAATCAAGTAATTCAAAAGGGATATATTTACACTAACAATAACTTTTTAAGCATCCAGAATCTCACTTGTCTCTCAAACAAAAGCTTATTCATATTTGAAAAATGGGTAAAAAAAACCAAAACATTTATATCGATAGGCTCCTAACTCTTATGAAAGACGAATGCCAAAAATTGTTAATTCAACTAGCAAGCAAACCATATAATTTTAGTAAAGTACAGAGCCCTGATTTGAAATGCATGCCATCAAAAGCAGACAATGTCACAATATTGAGCATAAACTCATAATCTGGCGACAGATAATGAGATTTTCAACTGGAAAATATACATAATTTTATCCAAAAAAGAAAACAAGGCAAAATCAAGTCTAGGAAAAATCAATCAATCGTCACGAATCTTCGGCTATTTATTTTCTAAAAGTTAAAAAGTGAATCTAAAACACAACTTCAAATCATCAATATCACAGGCTCAGAGCAATATGCAAATAAGAAAAATGAAATTACTCAGTAACATACTAATATTTGAGCTGTACTGGGGACTGAACGAGTAGCAGTTCTTGCAGCAGCAACCTTTCTTCTTGAAATGACATAAACATTGCAAAATTCTGGTGCCAATTTTAGTATGATAGATTGAACATCTGTTCCTTCGAATAACCGACACGTACATAACGCAAAATTCATGCATACATACATTCATACACTTTTGAAAAGTAGAAGGAAAACATGCATTTTATGGGGTACATTGAAATTCCAGTCTTTGATGCTGCACCAACAAACAGAGTTTCAATTTCATATTGGTGAACATATCCGACAAGTGCTTTTGCAACATCTGAATCCTCTAGTACAACTGCTTCACACTGTATCTGTATGCATTGAAATTTGGGCAAATTTTGGGTTGGATTTAGTCATCAGATCAATTTAAATTTTATAAATATCATATAATTCAAATTTGAATCAACCAAAAACGTGTCCGAATAATGAATCCATTGATCAATATTTTCAATCCTTAATAATAATCTTTAATTTCGCCACACAGTTGTATTTGAATCCACACAAATATCATACAACTAGTTTTAATGTCGCTGTTAGAATCTCTTCCTTAATCCAAACACCTGACAGCTCACCTGTTTACGGGCGCATAAGCTTCGAAGTCGAAGGAAGAAGTCCATGTTCTGACAACTTGTGGATCAATAACAACGCTACCATCATCTGATGAAGGAACCGATTGATATAATTACCATTTGAGATTACACATTAACAAACAATAAAGCCCTAATTAAGGTGATATATACCTGGATTAACAGGGCTGATTGGTTTATGAAGAACATGAACGAGCCTCAAGGTTTGGCCTCTGATGAGGAAATTATCAACATCCCAGTGGAGAGCTTGCAGGCTGTATTTGTCCTTGTCTACCGCAACGACCACTAATCTATCTCTTCTTTCCCCTCTTTCTCGATCCCCCCTCGTGCTGAATGAGTTCTACTCGTATTTATTCATTAAAATTTTGGAACATATTTGATTTCTAGGTTTCTAGGTTTAGGGTTGAGACGAGAACCAAGGAAACAAGGAAACAAGGAAACAAGGAAGCAAGGATTGTGAGAAATTAAATTGAAAGAAATTCAAAAGTGGAACTTTTAGGAAATCCAAAAATCATTACGCGGATTTATGAAAGTTGTGAGAAATTAAATTGAATGAAATTATAGTCTAAATTATGAACCGAAAATAAACTGTGTAAACAAAGGGCCAAATTGAATTTAGATAAAAACATAGAGTCAGAAAGATAAACTTTGTTGACATTAGGGGCTTAAATTGTAATTTACCCATTTTCTATCTTTTATTGACTATTTATGGTCAATTTTAACACACGAACCCTGAATTTTAATACTCCCTATATTCCATTAAATCTATCTTTTATTTACTTTTTATGGTCATTTTTTTTAAATTTTAACTTATTATTATTTAAAAGTTATTATTGATAAAAATATTAAAATTATTTTTAAAAACGTTCAATCGAGTAGTTTTAAAATATATATTTTTATTAATTTAATTGTTTGAAATATTTAAAATAACCATGGTCAATGTGTTAGAGTATGCCCAAAGACCAATATGATTGTAATAATACATTTATTTATCGATTTATAATAATGCATTGCCGCTTATTTTCAGTTATATTTATGTGTTTAACATAAATTGGAAGATAATAAAGTCCATATAATCACATAATTGTTATTATTAAAAGATCCATAGTCAAATATTATTATGGGCATGGACAATAATAATACGCTTAATAAGATGTTATTGATTGATGACAATGAGTTGTCATTGACATATAGAGTTCAGAATTGATACATGATTATATTGTTAGAGAACAATGTATTGGATTGACCCACCATGAGCGTATGTCTTGGATTATTATGTGACAGTTATAACATTGCTCATGGTGATGACTATATGTATGATCCTCAGACTTGAGATCAATACTATCCCAACATATATTGTTAAATGTTTTAATTGGTTGCTCTATAAAGACTGTTATTGAATATATCTCAATATATGTAGTGGGTGTGTATGATTAAGATATGATTTGTCCTTCCTACATAATAGGAAATATATCATAGGCCACTTGATTGAGTGAGACTAGAAACGCATGATCATGCTCGAATAAATTGATATGAGATATCACAAACTATTCGTTAATTAAAGTACTCTAGATATCAAGAAACAATAGATGGGCTATACAAGTGTGACTATTCCAAGGCTTGTGCCTATTCTAGATATAAAGGACATAAGGATGTAATACATAAAAGTGTTAATCACCAAGATGATATGTCGAATCATATTTTCTTGTAACTTAGGTAACAATGATATAGTTAGATGTCACTCATTGTATGTAATATAAGGATTGTTCTAATAATTACTGCTAACTTTACAAGAACTACAAGGTTACACCATAGGATTGAAACGAGCAAAGATGTACAATTGTTGTACGTTACTAAAATATCTACAGTTAATATATGTATGTTTGATATACATATGTTTTAATGATCCTGAATATTTAATTTCAATTAATTAAATAAAGATTTAATTAATTTGAAATAATAAAATCCCTAAAATGATTAGGGTAACTTGGATATAAAAGGATGTGTAAGGTCTAGCAGCCGTTTTTTAACACACATATCTTCAGCCATTTTTCTTAAAATCAGTTTTGGGAAAATCAAATTTTGCTCTCGATCGGGTGAACTGAGTAGAGGTCAAGACGTAATTTCGTGGAGGCTTACGATTCAAACTGATCGACACCAACATTAGTCGTTGCTATCCTTACTATTTTCAAGGAACCCTGTAAGTATCTGCATCCTTTCCTCCCAATTTCGGTTTATCGTACTTGGATTGCTGGTGAGACCGTCAAATTTTGTTTCCCCTGCGCCATGGGGTGAGCCAACGGTCACAATAGTGGTTTTAGAGCCACTTGTACAATCTGAATTCGGGTTAAATTCTTGGTTGATGCGATATGTATGATGCATGTTCTAGTTTTATCATTTTCGGCAATTATGCTGATATCATTGTTAGATTCGATAACAACAACGATCAATATATTAATTTTAATATATTTTTACAGTCTATGTGTTGCTGCAAGGATTTTGCGAAATCTATATGTCAATTGTTGACATGATGATCTGTGGGTATGCGATAACATATCGAGTTTGGCAGTGGAACAATGGTTGTTCCGATGTATAAAACCTTAAGGATTAAAAATCCCAAAAACACGACTTGATAAGTTATCAAATAGTGAGGTTTTTCAATAGAAACGGAAGTACTAATTTTCAAAAACAAAATCACACCGGGCGTCGCAGTATGACTGATGCGCGCTAGGGGCTTCGCCCCTAGACCCCGCAAGGGACTTCGCCCTTTGACCCTTCATCAGCAGTACAAATTGTAGGCCCATATTAATATTTTTAACAAAGTCGTAAGAATATGTATATTATGATATGTTTGTTTTGAACGATGTTTGACATGCATGGTTATAGGCCTTATTCAATTTGTAATGGTTGAATTTAAAACTGTGAGTCATGCCTTTCTATATCTCAGTTGTATTTCTCTTCTCATCTTACTCCCTCATATGTAAAACGAGTTTCTTTTAAAATTGTAATCCTATGAAGATTCACAAGTAGCAGAAGAATGGATTGAACTAAAGGCGAGAAGATACCTAGATAGTAGTCTTAGGTTTTAAGTTTTTTTTTCTCCCATTGGCTTGGGATGAGCCACCTTAGTCATTGTTTTTGGGCTATAACCATTGTATCTTATTTATTGCTATATTTTTTTATGTATGTAATGCATCAAATGATAAAATAAGAATGAATATTGATGAGATCAATAAGGGCCTAATATTAAAACGAACAATGATGAGATAATTACGCAAATCCCTCTTTATAATATAAGTTAACTTAACCGTCCAATATTTACCCTAGTTAAGACTTCGATCGATATATGTGGGATTTGCCAAAGCATTGGCACATTAATCTATCTTGGTTAAATGCGAAGAATAAGCAAGTGATATTCACCGGTTTAGATATTGGTAATAACTTAGCTAGGTTATTCTAATAGGATTAGAAACCTAGAGGTTAAGTATTTGGATAAGTCATGAGATGACTTGACAATAGTTGTTCACCAAAAGGAGGAGTTACATTAGATGTAACTAGTAAAGTGTTACTTACCTAAATAATCACTATCCTAACAGAAAAGCCAAGGCTCATTTAGGAAATTGATGTATTATGGATCCTCACCCACTAGAAAAACTTTCGTTGAATTTTTTCAAAATTAAATAAGAGAGGTCTTTTAATTTTGAATAAAACAGTGGGAGTAATTTGTAAATAAAGACCTATTTATAAATTTTAATTCGGTAAATTTACTTAATTTAATATTTCCATTGTTGTAGATTTAATGGCAAACAACACTTTATCACTACGATCACTCACTGAGAATGAGGAGCTTAATGGCATAAACTATCTTGACTAGTTTTTTAATTTGAGAATTGTTCTCAATCAGGAAAGGAAAGAATATGTCATTGAAGAACATGTTCTTGATGAACCGACAACTAATGCTTTAAGAGCTGACAAAGACAAATTCAAGAAACATATGGATGATATGTAAGACGTTGGATGTTTAATGCTTGCCACCATGACTCCTAAGCTTCAGAAGCAATACGAGGACATGATTGCATATAAGATGATTCAAAATCGCAAAGAAATATAAGGGCAAGCACATCAATAGAGATATGAGACATCTAATCTCTATTTCAATGCAAAATGGTAGAGGTAACTCCTGTAGGATCTCATGTAATCAATATGATGGGCTACATCCAAACGTTGGAAAAGTTGGGATTTCCTCTCAAAGATGAATTGGATACCGATGTTATCCTGCAATCATTGCCAAATAAATTTAGCCAGCTTGTCCTTAATTTCAACATAAATGAAATTAACAAGACTTTTCCACAGTTACTTGGCATGTTACGAACTGCTGAAAGTAACACGAAAAAAGTTAGACCTAAGCCCATTCTAATGGTCCATAAGAACAAAGGAAAGGGAAAGAAAACGGTAGTGGCAAAGTCTAAGGGCAATGGTAAGACCAAACCGAAAGGGAAAATGCATTGAAACCCAAAGGGGGAGTTATCAAAGAATGAAAATGTTTCCTTTGCGATAAGACCGTACACTGAAAGAGAAATTTCCCTGTTTACCTTGAAGAGGTCAAGAAGGTAAAAGAAAATGGAACGCTTTTTTTTAGATATTTATGTTATTGATGTTAATTTGTTAACATCTACTTATTAGGTATTAGATACCGATTGCGGTTTTCATATTTGTACTTCTATACATGGACTGAAAAAAAAAGGTATCTGGCTAAAGGAGACGTAGACCTACGAGTGGGAAATGGAGCAAGAGTTGATGCATTAGCTATAGAGACATATGTTTTATCTTTGCCAGTGGACTTGATTTAAATTTAGAGGATTGTTATTTTGTGCCTAGTTTGACTAAGAACATTATTTCTATTTGTTGTTTGGACAAGTTTGGTTTTGGGATTATTATTAAAAATAATTGTAGATATTTTTATATCGATAATGTTTTTATGGTTCGCCGCAATTGGTTAATGGTCTCTATATTTTGGATCAATAAACACCATTTATAACAAATTCTAAAAGATCAAAAACAAATGACTCGAATCAACTTATCTTTGGCATTGTCGTTTAGGCCATATAAGTGAGTAAAGAATATCAAAACTCTATAAATATGGATTCTTAGATTCATCTGTTTTCGAACAATATGATGTATGTGAATCTTGCTTGTTAGGAAAATGAATAAAGCTTCTTATAATTGTAAAGGTGAGAGAGCAAGTGACTTATTGGGGTTAATACATAGTGATGTATGTGGACCAATGAATACACAAGCCAGAGGTGGATTCCATTACTTCATTACCTTCACCGATGACTTCAGTCAGTATGTGTATATTTATCTTATGCACCATAAATCTGAAGCCTTTGAAAAGTTTAAGGAATTTAAAAATGAAGTACAAAATTAGCTAGGGAAAAGTATTAAGGCACTTCGATCAAATCGAGGTGGAGAATACATAAGAATAGAGTTTGATGAACTTCTGAAAGAAT